TCCGGCCCGCGGGCCGTATGTTTGACACCCCTGCTCTAAGTGATAAGGAACTAAAAAAGTTATTTTGATTCATGATACATTAAAAAAAAAAAAATCAGCCTTTTATTTGGTTATTGGAATTTTATTCTGCCGATGTTAGAATCAGCGCCGGCTACCAAAATTCCACATCTAATTGCGTCACCATGCTTATTACGGTTTTGGAATAACTGTTTACAGTATGGCCATTGTTTTACTGGGCTTTAGGGAACTCTGGCGAGCAACAAAAGAACCCCCCCCCTAAAATAAACATCTGTTCTAAAAATATCGTTAATGCAGTGATACCAAGTATGTGCTTTTTGTACTGTCATTTCAAACAGTTGTCCTTCAATTGCAAAGAATTTGCATGTGTAAATTGTCCCATCCTTCCTTTGTACCCTGCTGACTATGACAATTGGATTGTGATGCTGTTGTTATTGAGCCTTTGCTCATGTGCCTAGCGGCAACGACACGACGATCGCCGTAATTAGTTGCATTCCCGCGCCGACTCGCATTTGCGAAATTTTTTATGAATGCTCAAAGTAATTGCCTTTTTATGCCCTTTTTGCATTTGACATTAAATGTGGAACGATGCTGCTTTTGCCAACGAATCAGTGAAACACAAAATCATTTTGTCAAGCATTTATGAATATTAATACATAATACGTTAATTCATTTATAGACTTGCCTTTGTGGTTTATATTTAATACAGAGCAGGGCTTCAATTCCAAACCTGTATGAATTGTGTCCTTCCACTCCTGGCCATTCTTTGACATGTCACGGCATCGCCCTCAGGAGGAGCTGAAGAAGGATCTGATTCCCCTGAAGAAGAATCTGCGGCGCCTGTATGAAGCCAAGCAGGAGTGTGATGACACAACTGTGCACATCAAGGTATCAACAAACATGCGAGCGAGTGAGTTGAGTGAGTGAGGGGGACGGTGCGAATGAGGGTCCCGCATGACCCCTGATGTCACTACGGCTGCCGCGCCTCAGCCCCAAGGGTTGTGTTTTTTTTCCACGCGGAAAATTTGGCCTTGCCGCGACAGAATGCTTTGAAAACATTCGAACGTGATGAAAGATGTGTGGAAGGTAAATAATGGGCAAAGTTTTGGACGCGCTTTTTCATTTAATAGAATGAGAAAGTGTCTTGTGTTCTTTATCGAAAATGTTAGAATCAACATAATACAGTGAGAACGTCAGGCTGACTTTCAAGTTGTTCAATTTTAATTGTCATACAAGTGGAAAATGGAAGTAAAATTCTATAAGACTAAACAGGAATTTTTGATGAGCAATCATAAAACTTTCATGACCTGTAAAGAATTTCATGTTGTCATTCAAGCATAAAAAATAAGTGGCTCTCCAAGTTCCACCGTCATTAAAAATTAGAATACAGTCGCATAGTATGCCTAAGTGTTCACCAAAAAAAAGACACGTTTTATTTCTCAGCACTATATTTAATACTACTGTAAACTACTGTCTCATGATACAGTTTGAACATTGATGCTGTGCTTAAATTCAGGAAAACAATTTTAAATGTGTCTACATCATGATTCAATGTAAATTTATTGCACATAAAAAAAATCAGGTGGTTAAAAAAATCAGGTAGTTAAAAAGAAACAGTTCTTAGAAATTAAATGCAGACGTATTGAACTTCAAAGTTAAATACAACTGAACTGTACTTAGGCATACCATTAGAGGGCGCTTGTGTGCCACGAATTATCTTCAATGAGCCTACCTGACTTGCACATTCGTTAAACTTTGGAGGGTTCCACTCCTTTACTTCTTTTTTGTATTTGTTTGTTGTTGACTCATTTGTGTACATTTGTGTTTGTGTGTCAGAACCAGACTCAAGCCACGGAGCAGCAGCTCAGAGGGGACTTTGAGCAGCTGCGTGACTTCCTGCAAAAGGAGGAAACGGCGCGGCTGGGCGCCGGACAGCAGGGGGCGTGCTGACATGCTCCGTGGCCGGAGACAACAGAGGCCCCGTTGTATCTGCGGTGTTGTGTTGTACCGAACCTTGCTACTCACTCTTTTTTCAAGCATGTTGTATTTTTTTTTTTGTTTGTTTTTACATCAACTTTGCTGTTTGTTTGCTGTATTTGACTTCCAAAGGAGAATAAGTGGCGTGTCAAAAAGGTCGTGGTGTTAAGTGTAGCTTGCCTAGCAGTAGTGATTTATTCACACATTCCATGCTGTCATCAAGGTGATTGCAGTTTTACTTTTGATAACAGTGTTACATATACTGTGGACACTATATTGTAAAAAGAGGCAGTGTTAGGTTACTTGTTTCGTTCGGGACAGAGATGCAGTTGAGGTCTTATGCTACGAAAGTGTATTGCATTCATTTGGTGAAAAAAAAAATCTTGATTTATGTTTTGGAGGGACTTTTTTTCTTTTGTAGATAGATTTTTGTTTTCTGTTTTTCCAAGAGAGAAGAAATACTCCCAAAAAACAGAATATTCTTTTTTTTTTTTTTTTTTTTTTTTTTT